ATTCTTACTGCATCCATTTAATTTACAGTGCCTCCAAGTATTGAAGGCCCTGAACAAGAGCTGCTCAGTGAAGCCATCAGTAATCCTGTCACCTTTGTGTGTGACGCTACTGGAATTCCTCCACCAACATTACTGTGGCTCAAGAATGGAAAACCAATAGGTAACATTCCCTCATGTTTTTCACTCCTCTTTTTTTCCCCCTCTTTGAGGCACCACTGTGCTATTTGCTGACCATTTTTTTGTTTCTTCTTCATCGAATCATAGAATTTTTAGAGGTTGGAATGGACTTTAGACATCATCCAGCCCCAAGCCCTGCCCTGGGCAGGGACACTTCCCACCAGAGCAGGTTGCTCAAGGCTCATCCAACCTGGCTGTGAACACTGCCAGGGTTGGGGCAGCCACAGCCTCCCTGGGCACCCTGGGACAGGGTCTCACCACCAGAACAGGGAAAATCTTCCTGATATCTAATCTAAATTTCCCCTCTTTCATTTTGTGCCCATTGCCCCTTGTCCTGTCCCTGCAGTTCCTAACACAGAGTCCCTCTCCAGCTTCACCATAGCCCTTTCATCTCCTGGAAGGCTTCTATGAGATAAAAGTGAGATAAATGACTCTACCACATTTTCCTGGCCCTCCTCCTTTAACCTAAGATGCCAGAGGACGTATCCATCTTCATCTGACTCTTAGGATAACTGATTGGAATCTTTGTTTTGAAGTGCTGATGACAGAATTTCTCCCAAGATGTTTGCTCCCTGGTTTGGAATGACTTGTTTACATATTTCAGAAAACTCAGATTCTCTTGAAGTTCACGTTTTATCTGGTGGAAGCAAACTCCAGATTGCTCGTGCTCAGCTCCTGGACAGTGGGACCTATACATGCATTGCCTCCAATGTAGAGGGAAAAGCTCAGAAAACCTATGTGCTTTCCATCCAAGGTAAGCAATGAGGGTGCAGTGAAGAGAACTGGTTAATAAATGAGTGAGTGTGATGCTATGTCTGAGCTAGAGACGTTGAGATAACAGAAACATATAGGAAAGTGGAGGAGTCAGACCATTATTTTTATCATGTGTAACGGGGGAAAAATGCTCAGAAGATTATATACTGGTCAGGTATGGAATATCAAGCTGCTTGTTTGATCTAATATGACTGAAATTGCTTCCAATGCTCAAACATTCTAGTGGGACTGACACTCTGACTTGATGGCTGTCATCCTTGTTCTCTAGGAGAACAGGCTGGAAGTGGCTGTGCTCAGGATGGGTTGAGTGTGTGGCTGTTAACAGCACTATGATGGTGTTGATCATAGAATCACAGAATGGTTTGGCTTGGAAGGAGAACCTAAAGATTATCTACTTCCACTCCCTGCCCTGGGCAGGGACACTTCCCCCCAGCCCAGGCTGCTCCAGCCCCATCCAGCCTGGCCTGGAACACTCCAGGGATGGAGCAGCCACAGCTGCTCTGGGCACCCTGTGCCAGAGCCAAGAACCTGTTCCAGGTGCTGCACTAAATGCTGGTACTCATGAGCTACTGCAGTGTGACTTATACAAGTTTAGGTTATGTTTCTTTCTGGTGAATCCTCTTCCTTCCATCCTGCATTTCCAGTTCCTCCTAACATCGTTGGCGCTGAGATGCCGAGTGAGGTCAGTGTCCTCCTGGGGCAGAGCATCCAGCTTGTCTGCAGTGCCACTGGAGTGCCCACACCAGACGTGCAGTGGCTTAAGGATGGAAAACCAGTTCCCAGGGATGATTTTCCACGAATAAGGCAAGCAAAAATAAGCAGACACTGCATCATCATCTCCAGTTTGAGAGCTCAGAGGGCCCTAAAGAGGGAGCATAAAAGAGGGCCCTGTGGGGGAGTGTGCAGAGAGCCTCAGCTGGAGCTTAGAAGAGTTAAGTACATCACCCCCTCTTTAGCTTCTCTAGATTCAGTATAATTTGTTACTACTTTGATATTTTTAAGCTGTTTTTTCTTTTTTCCAGAGGTAAGTATGTTCTTTTTAACTTCCGTTAAATTTAATCAGCTTCATGAAAGTTTATTAAGGTCAGTAAGTTCCATTAAGTACCTTTGGAGGGGAAAGATCTGAGACATGGAAACATCTTACTCTTGATGCTTTTGATTATGGGTCTTCAAAAGCCTGGCTGGAATTGAATCTTAAAGCAAAGGTAAACAGGACATCTCTAGGAAAACCTTCCTAGCTTATCTCTAACAATAATATTTTGCAAAACACAAGGGAGACTCCCAACAGGATAAGAGGTAGTGATTTAAATGCCCAAAAGGGACTGTTTATTTGCCAGGCTGGAAGAATAGGTAAACAGCCTCACTGTGGTTTGTGATCCTCCTTGCAGAGTGACTCCAGATGGCAGCACATTAAACATTTCCAGAGCTCTCAGTTCAGATACAGGGAAATACACTTGTGTGGCTACTAACCCTGCAGGAGAGGAAGACAGGATTTTCAACGTGAATGTGTATGGTGAGTCCTCCCAGATGTGGAACCAAGCTCTGCTCCATGATCCCATCCTTGTGAGCACTCCCCAGGGAGGGCCTGGAGGGGAGTGCCACGTGCATGTGTTTCCAATTCCTTGTACTGTAGATATCAGTTCTGTCCATGGCAAAAGGATTGAAATTGCTGGTAAATGTGTTTTGGGATAAGGAGGAATTAATTCCTTTTGTGGATTTCATCACAGAGGAATTCTGCTTACAGTGGTTTCTCATTTCTTCTGGAGAGAGATATGCTCAGGGTTGTGGTACTGCTTTTTGTGGGGTTAGTTTATCTTCACTGCTTCCAGTCAAAGTGCATCAGCCAGAGGCAGAGTGGGGTGGTAAGGAAGTTATAGTCCTTAGAGTTTAAAAGAAAAATGATGGAGTGTGGGAGGAAATTCTTGCAGAGTTTGACATGCAGAGGACAGTGAGTACAATTTTTAGCAGTGTAGATATTTTAATTAGTGAAAAACGTGCTCGTTACTGACAATGAGTAGAGTGCAGAGGGAAGGATTTCACTGCAGTGTAGGGATCTGTCCCAGTCACACAGACTCAGAACTGATGGGAATAGGAGCATGAGCAGAGTAGTCAGAGATGTCCTTTGGTATCACAAGTAACAGTCCTCAGTGACCACACCACATCTCTTTGGGAGAGAATCTCACTGCACAGCAGCTGAGAGGTTTTTGATCAGTTTATATTGGTTGGAGTTTGAGCAATAACCAACTTAAATGGCCTTAGCTACACAACTGTCATGGTGCCTGGTGGGATGTTCAGTGAGGCAGAGCTGGGAGCTGTGTGGCTGGGCCTGCCCTGGAGAGTGAACCCCCAAGACTCTGGTTTTCAAACTAACCTGACAAATCTGAAAGCCCCCAAAGCAGCTCTGTTAGCATAATCAGCCAGAACACTTAGCCAGGCATTGAAAAATGAAATCTACATACACATCTAGGTGTTCATAAACTACCTTTCCTCCTGTGTGATTTCACTTCATGTAAGGTTTATGGAGGGCCATAAGTCTGGGTGGTAACAAACTGCCAGGTCCTTTCCATCCCTGGGCTGAGCCTGTCCCCTCTGAGGTTGGTCCTTCTAGCACTGCTATTCTCTCCCTCAGGATTTTAAACATGTAAATGGATCATTTATTAGTACTCCATATTATGCTGTTAGAGGATTTATTAAAAATGGGGCTGATCTTATGGAATTGCCTGTGGGGCATTAGGTGCACGTTTCCTGTAAGGTAACACATGTGGGATGGTTTTAAGAGTCAGTTTTTAATGTCTTCCTTTCCAACCTTTACAAAATGTAGTGCCTCCCACCATAGCCAACGGCAGGGTCGAGGCAGAGGAGCTCACTGCTGTTTTGGACACCTCCCTAAATATTGAATGTGCTGCTGCTGGGACCCCCCCACCACAGATACACTGGCTGAAGAATGGCCTTCCCCTTGCTGTCTCCTCCCAAGTCACTCTGCTGTCTGCTGGGCACATCCTCAGGTTGGTTTTCACCTGCTTTAACTAGCTGAGTCTTCCATTCTCTTTTGCTGTATCAGCAGAAATCTGCTAGCATTCCTGGAAGCAAGAGCAGAATGTGTTCCAAACCCTGCCATAATACAGGCAGTGGATTCCATGTATTCCATTTCCAGCTTGCTTAAAGTGCTTTATCTCCTCAGGCTTGCCCGAGTGCAGACAGCTGATGCTGCTGTGTACACTTGTGTAGCATCTAACAGGGCTGGAGTGGACAACAAACACTACAACCTGCAAGTTTTTGGTGAGTTTCTCTGAAATGCTGGACAGGCTTGAGAAGTGCAACAATGCAAAGCTGATGGAGTTTAACACAATGAAGGGCAAGGTCCTACACCTGGGCCATGGCAATGCCATCCCAGCTCCAGGTTGGGAGGGGAAGGAATTGAAACCAGCAGTGAGGAGAAAATCATGAGGGAAACATTCACTTTTCAATGCGGGTTGGTGTTTTTCTTGTTGTTGTTAAGGTTTTTTGGGTTGGTTTTTGTTTTGTTTTGTTTTTAAATGGAAAGTCTTTTAACCCTAGGGGAGTCCTCACCCATGGCCATTGAATCACCTAATGCTTTGTGTTGTAAGGGACCTTAAAGCTCATCTAGTCCCAACCCCCATGATGTGTCACAGGTTGTTTGGAAAGAAAAATAATGTCTAATTTGTGAGTGAGCTTTAGCCCGTGGGGAGATGCAGAAGGGTTTTCCATGCAGGAGTGCCCTGTGTGACAGCTCTTTGTGTCCTGGCAGTGCCCCCGAGCTTGGACAACGCCGGGGGAACGGAGGAGGTGACGGTGCTGAGGGGCAGTGCCGCTGCCATGAGCTGTCTGACTGATGGCACTCCTGCCCCCAACGTGTCCTGGTTTAAAAATGGACATCCTCTGAGCCCTGGGCCTCACCTGACCTCGAGGAACCAAGGGATGGTCCTTCACTTTGTCCAAGCAGAGGTTGGAGACACGGGCAAATACACCTGTGTGGCATCCAATGAGGCTGGAGATGTCAGCAAGCACTTTGCCTTGGAAGTGCTGGGTGAGTGTTAACCTTTCAGGAGAACCAAACGTGAGCAGGAAAATGGAATTTAAAAGGTCTCTATGGATAAGGAGTATTTTCAGAGACTCACAGAATCCCAGAGTGGTTTGGGTTGGGAGGGACCTCAAAGTCCATCTCGTCCCACCCCCTGGCATGGGTTGGGACATCTCCCACTAGCCCAGGCTGCTCCAAGCCCATCCAACCTGCTCTTTTCAATAAATGACAAATAAGAGAAATCAGGAAGTGAAAGATCTGTAAATGGGTAATCTATTTCTGAAGTACTGAAACCTGCTATAATTAACATAACTCTGTGCTATGAGTCAGTAACTTTGGTTAGGAGAAATTCAGCCTGACAGGAAGAGGCACAGCTGAAGGTGCAGCAGTTAAAGGGCTAATAAATATGTTCACTGAAATCACAGAATATATTTTATCTGTGATTTTGAAAACATTTTTCTAACTAATAATTCCAGTTCATAGAATATGCAAATTAACAGGCAGAGGCCTGTTAATGACATGAGTTATTCAGTGAATTCATGACACTCAGAAAAAATATAATGTAGACTAGTTCTACAGACTTCACCCCCAAGGTTGTGTCTCATGTTTTATAATTTTCTTGGATTGGTTTTTATCAGGTTTTTGAGTCAATAAAGAACTTTAATGTTTTTCCTTCCCCAGAGCCACCTCACATCAATGGTTCAGATGAACCAGAAGAACTCTCTGTCATCGTTAACAACCCTCTTGAACTTCTCTGCATCTCCTCTGGCATTCCAGCCCCCAAAATCTCCTGGATGAAGGATGGGCGCCCACTTCTGCAGACAGATCATGTCCATGTGCTAAGAGAAGCTCTTCGAATAACCAGTGCTCAGGTAGAGTATCTGTTCCAAACAGGCTCAGCTTTGCATTCCCTGGAGGAGTCTTAGGACCATCCTCAGAGATGTCCCTGTAAGTCCCTCACCTGCTTTGGCCATTACAGGAAATATTTTTCAAGCCCTGCCTTGGAGTACAGAATGCAGTAGTGTTCTGGGATGAGAATGCCCAAGCACTTCTGCCTCCTCTGAGCATTATTTTTTTTTTCATGTTCACTTCAGTTTTCCATGACTTTTTTATTTATTGGTGCATCTCATTACAAAGCAGAACAATCAGTGCTGGGACTTGTCTTTTCCTGGAGTTATTTCTGGTTTCTGTTCACGTATTACCTATTTGACTCTTGTCACTATCTCTTGCTTTTCTTATTTTGTGATTTATACTTCCTCCTCAGCCACTCTTCTGTTTCTATTAGCTTGGATTTTCAGAAACCCTTTTGCTTCTCACCTAAAGCCTTGAGCAACCTGCTCTGGTGGGAGGTGTCCTTGCCCAGGGCAGAGCTTGGGGCTGGGTGATCTGTAAGGTCTATTCCAACCCCTAAAATTCTGTGATTCACTCTATGATTTTATATCCAAGCCATAGATGAGAGCAGAAATTCAGGCAGTAAAAGAGTCTGGGGAAAAGAACCTTTAAAAACCTACCTTGATAAACTAATGCTGTATCCAGCTGTGGACAGCCAGGCAATGTTCCCCAAAGAGGAGTGGGAAAGGGCTTGGGGTTGATTGCTGCTGGTTTTGTTGGTCAAACAAACACTTCTTGGCTTTATAATGAGGAGTTTACAGGGAGGAGAAACCAGAAAGGGATGAATGACTATGTGTGCACAGGAGGATTTACTCAGTACCCAAGCCTGACCCTTCCTTAGATGGATCCCTATGGCCAGTTCTGTCTTTATTGTTGGAGACACATTATCCAGAGAGATTTTTGGAGTCCTGCAACTCCTAAGCCATCTCTGAACGACCTCACCGTGGGAAAATGAAGAAGTGTTCAAGAACTCTTAATTTCTTTCCAGGCATTTCTTATCTGTTGTGTCTGTGTTCAGGTGCTGCCTCTGATATGTTGTCCATGTTAGTATTTCATGGTTTGGCCAAATTTTCCTCGTGTCCTGAGGTTTCTGCTGCAGTTGTTTCTCTGTTTCTAGGTGGAGGACACAGGAAGATACACATGTTTGGCCTCCAGCCCAGCAGGAGATGATGACAAGGAGTATTTAGTACGAGTGCATGGTAAGTTTAATTTAGGGAAAAGGGAAAGAATGCTTCAAAGTGTAAACTGCTGAGGTAGATATCAGCATCTCATTGAACAAGCTCCATATTCCCAGAGAAGAAATATGGTGTGATATTACACCATATGATCATAATTGATGTTTCTGAATGAAGATGATTACTCTGAATGTGATACATAATTAAAAGGAAAAGTTCCACCTGATTTCTGTTATAATTCCAAGTCTTATTTCTGAATACTTAGGGAAACTGCTGAGGTAGATATCAGCATCTCATTGAACAAGCTCCATATTCCCAGAGAAGAAATATGGTGTGATATTACACCATATGATCATAATTGATGTTTCTGAATGAAGATGATTACTCTGAATGTGATACATAATTAAAAGGAAAAGTTCCACCTGATTTCTGTTATAATTCCAAGTCTTATTTCTGAATACTTAGGGAGTTCTTAGGTACCAGTGTTGGGTTGGGTTGAGTTTGTTGTGCTTACTGAAAAGGGATGTGAACTACACTGATGTATTTAACACAGGTCCTGAAAAGGAGAACCAGTTAATGATCCTGAGGCTCTGCATTTATTTTAAACTGAAGAAACGAGTTGGAATTTTTCCATAAGCAGTTTTCCTGACAGCTCACGTGGGTGGTGTTTATTTTGTCCTGTGTTTGTGGCAGTTCCTCCTAACATTGCTGGTACCAGTGTGCCCCAGGACCTCACTGTGCTGCAGAACAGACAAGTTATCCTGGAGTGCAAATCAGATGCTGTGCCACCTCCCACAATCTCCTGGCTCAAAAATGGAGAGCTCCTCGAGGTACATTGCATTATTTGGCCTAGCCTTTTGTTCCCTGTAGCTGTTACACACAGTGCTTGAGGTTTCTTGCTCTGCTCACTCTCCCCTTCAGTGCAGCCCAAGCCATGGTGCCCTGAATGCCAGAGCAGCTGAGTAGCCCCAGTCCAACTCCAGTTAGCCCTGAACGAGCCCCTGAGGCTAGCAAGCATGTGAAGTGGCCACCCCACTGTTACTTGTTCTTTTTTCCTTTAGGGGGATCCGTTGCTCCTCCTGGATCCTCTGAACAATGCTAGAAGCCTTCGGTATACTCCTGAATGGCTTCCCAGGAAAGGTAGCTGAGAAAAGACTACACTACATGTTTCCTTTGGGTATATTATGCATCCTCCTACTCTAGTAGCATTTAGAAAGGAGTTGAAATTCTTAAAAAGAAAATGGGTTGCTAATCACTAGAGGTTTTGTATCAAATGCATCTTTTCCACTCAGAATTCCATAGTGTCGTGTCAAGGCAGTGAGTCTTTGCTGGTTGAGAGACAATTAGCAAGATGAGGATGGTTTATACAGAGAATTTTTTTGTACCCATCCTTGGGATCACTCACAAACCAATTGCTGTTCAACTGAACATTGCAGTTCAGTTATTGATAGAACTTAATGAATTGATCATTCATTTTCCCTCAGTTGATATTTATTTGATATTGATTCAACGTATGAATTGTGTCTCCATTAACTGTGGTCCATCAGTAATCTTCACCCAAATTTCTGCTTGTTTGCCTTCTGACACAACATTCTTCATCCTCTTTCTCTAGGGTATCAGAGAATTTAGGGTTTGGAATGGGCCTTAGAGATGATCCAGCCCCAAGCCCTGCCCTGGGCAGGGACACCTCCCAGCAGAGCAGGTTGCTCAAGGCTCATCCAACCTGGCTGTGAACACTGCCAGGGTTGGGGCAGCCACAGCCTCCCTGGGCACTCTGAGCCACTGTCTCACCACTCTTAGAGTAAAAAACTTTTTTCTCACATCCAGCCTAGACTTCCCCTCCTTCAGTTTGAACCCATCACCCCTTGTCCTGTCACTGCAGTTCCTAACACAGAGTCCCTCTCTGGCTCCTTGTAGCCCCTTCAGATATTGAAAAGTTGCTCTGAGGTCTCCACACAACCTTCTCTTCTCCAGGCTGAACACCCCCAGCTCCCTCAGCCTCTCCTCATGGCACTTGTGCTCAGTCCCTTCCCCAGCCTCGTTGCTCTGCTCTGGACCTGCTCCAGCCCCTCAATGTCCCTCCATGTTAGTTGTCCTCTTGCCTCATGAATTGATGTCAGTATGTGAGGGCTGAGGATTCTTGGGACCTTAAAGATTATCCAGCCCCAACCCCTGCCCTGGGCAGGGACACCTCCCCCCAGCCCAGGCTGCTCCAAGCCCATCCAGCCTGGCCTGGAACACTCCCAGGGATGGAGCAGCCACAGCTGCTCTGGGCACCCTGTGCCAGAGCCTGAGCACCACCAAGCTTATATAAATACATTCTCCAGGTATCAGGAGAACATTGGTGCCATCCCCAGTGCAGCACTACCTTTTTGGTGCAAACTGTGGACAGATCTAGCCTCTTGCAGCTTTGGAGTCCTGGTAGTCTTCAGTGGTTTGGAAATGCACAGTGAGTGTTAGGAAAAGAAATTGGTAGGAGCTTCTTGATCTGGTCTGTCTTTGTTCAGTTTGCTGAATTTGTGTCTTATTCCAGGATGGTTTTTCTGACATATCTTGAATAGAGTGTAAGGATTAAATTATAGCTTCATTCCCTGTCAGCTGTCATCTCTGTGCTTCTGTGTTTAGAAACCATCACA